ACCAGTGCACCAGACTGCAAATTATTTTATTCAGGACTTAATAGGTAGTTTCTGGAAAACACAATGTAACAACCTTCAACAGAGGCAGCTCCAACAAAGCTCCTTCAAGTCCCTTCTTGGAAGGCTGCAGGGCTACGTCTACTTTGTACCTCTCTTGGGAAAGGTTTTTATTTCCCAATCTGTAGTCTTAATGTAGGATTTAAGAGAGCCTGCCTTTTGTGCCTCTTGTTCCCTGCCCTAGTTGCTCACTTGTGTTAGGAGTTAGATATTGACATTTCTCTGTGGCTTCTGTACAGTTCTTGCACTGACTACAAAAGCAGTGCACATCTCTTTCCACATCCTATGCACTGCCCTTCTGCTGTTTCTGTAAGATGTTAGATACTGGATCCTGGGAAGACCACTCTGGTGGTACTCTTTTTCTGTTTATAGCCTGCTGAGAAATGGAGAAATGGAAATTTTCAAAAAGCTCTGGAATGCCAGGTACCCTGAAACTTCAAGTCTGATGGAAGAGCCTGGTTTCCTTCCTACTGCATTTCAAAGACTTGTACAGTTCTTGCATCTATAAATCATAAACATTTGGTCAGAAATTTCCTTGTCTGTGTACCACAAGGTGGCTGGGATAGCATCATGTTTGAACAAGAAGAAACTCACAAGGAGGCTCACAATACAAATCATTATTTGTATTTCAGAGATGCATTCAGTCTCAGTGCAATGCAAACAGTTTTGTAGTAAGTTTTATTTAACTTATTAAAATAAATATTAATCTCTAGTTTTCTTTCTAGAGATTAATATTTAATTGAAATCAAAGTTTATTGAAAAGTTGCCACAAGTTTTTCTGGCTAGTTTACTTACGCATGTAAAAATTGAGAATAACACATGATGTGAAATATAAGTGTCCAACAGTCATCCTAACAAAACAAACAAACCAAAAATCATAAAAAATATCCCACCAAATCAACTGTAGCCAGTCATTGTTCTACCTTAGCATGATCCATCCACTTAGAATTTTTTGTTAATTTTTTTCCCTGTTTTGTGGCTCTGTGGCTTCCAAGAGTGCTAAAAGAAATGGATTGCTGCTCAACCGCCTTGCATCCTTTCTCACCTGCTGGCTGTCAGCATGCTGATTGATTACAGGTACACAGATGAGTGTAATGTAATTTCTGCCTGGTTGAATTCCCCCAAATTCTGCTGGCCAAATAGCAGTGTCTGCCTTCTAGGAAGTAGCCGCTGGCTTTGGCTGCTAAAACAGAGTATATGTGACCTGACGATCTGTTCCAGAACAGTGCAGGTAACAGGAGGTGCTTAGTTCTTGCATGCTTCCCTCCTACTAGGAACTGAAACAGTGAATTTATAATCCACCTCATATAGGTTTGCTGTGTAGTTGGGGGAGAGGAAAAGGTATTTCCAAGTTCAGAGTTGATCCTCTGGAGGTGCCTTTCTCTGTTTCACCTAAGTGTTTTAAAAATGATGCCAATCTTCAGTTTAAGAGAAGATAGTAACTTCCAAGTAGAAAGGACAAGGTTTATGTTGCTTCATGCTAGACCATTCCTTTTAGTCTTGTAAGACATTTCTACATTGGCTTCTTTTTACACTGTACTTTTACAAGACATCAATCAAGACTATTTAGGAAGTATGCCAAAAGCTTGTACAGTACAGAAACTTGCACTGTCCTTCCTGTATCTCTTGCATAAATCTAATGGCATCTGTAATTTAAACTTTCAGGAATAAAGAACAAGTACTGAATAGATGTGAGAAATAGCTACTCACTTTTCATAATTTTAGAAAGGTTTATTAAACCTTATCAAAAATGCAACAGAAGACTGAATAGAGAAAAGGCTCCGGCACCAGGAGCGAAGGATTTTCCCCACCATGAGCTTACCCACACAATGGGTGAGCATTTTTAACCCTTTAACCCTCCCAAAGTTCTATCCATCGACCCCTTCTTCACTGCTCAGTGGTGCAGAGTTCTTCCTCAAATCCTGATTGGAGGGCAGATGTCACCATACTGACAAGCTGACCCTCCCAAATGTCCCAGCCCTGGCTGTCTCTTGGTAACAATGCAAGGAGTAAAATATAACTATAAATCTATAAAACTTTTCTTAACCTCTATACATATTTGTCTGTTAATTGTGAGGGTCAATCATCACATAACTCATCTATCACAATAGATCCTAACTTTTTGCTGGTTTTAATTTAACATAAGCCTTCTAGTTGATATGGGTCTAATTTCCCTGTGAAAGATCAAAGAAATAAATGTCCGTGGGCTTTGTGAATCTCTTACCTAAACTAAATAATGAAAACTCATTTCAGTTGACCTAGACAAATCATAGTCTTTATCTTCAGTTGAGCCCAAGGAGACTGTAAACTTTGGGTATATTTTTTGGGAATGTAAGGAGAGATTACGTTGTCATGTGAATACATAGTGCAAAGAACAGGTTGTGAAGAACTTGTGGGCCAGTGAAGCAGACAGGTGATCTATATCACTTTCAAGAGACATAGATATCACTTGTCTGGATATAGTATTTAAAATCTAGACAGACCTTTGGGTTTTGTTTCTTTTTTTCACAATACTTAACACAAATGGTGTAATACTGAATCAGACTCAGAGTATGCAGTAATTTTGTATCTGTAACAGCTTTTTCTTTCCTTCTTTCAAGGATTTATAATTGAATAAAGTACAAGTTTTCAGTCTTTTATCCTGTCAGAGTATGTGAGGAGGTCAACAGCAGTATGTGCAAGAATGTGAGTTGGTGGTTTGTGAGAAAATCTCCCTCTCTCACTTACAGGCTTTAAGGATAGTAGCAGGAAGAATTTGCTGGTACTTTGTTGTCGTAGTTTTTCTTAAATTTTGGTGTTTTTTTTTCAGTAAATACTCCTAAGTTGCAAAAAGTGAGAAGGCTTTTCTTGAGCAAGATTATCTTGACTGAAGCTCATTTTATCAGTTTGGTACTTGTCAAGTCTTACTTGGCTCTGTCATCCACTTTCTTGGGAAAGTGAATAAGCTAATGACTCAAAAAGCTGGATTTGTATTATTTTTGCTAAAGATAAAATAACAGACTTAGTGCCTAGACACAAAGATTTATCTTCTTCTGATATAAACAGGGATGCACATGAGTTGGCCAAAACATGGAAAAAGGTAGTGCAAAAGGTAACGCTATTGTCTTAGTTTAAGACAATTTACAGGGTGAGGTCTCTGAAATAAGTTACTTCCCCTTAGTTTTAACTTCTCCCCTTTCCACTAATAAGGAAAGACAAATACAAAGAGATACAAATGAAAAAAATAATAGTTTACTTAACGAAAACAGCAATAATCAACAAGTACACGGTTCAAACTGTGAACCGCAAATGGCTCAACGCCCACGCACAAATGACGAGGAGATCCTCCTGATTGTCCCGGGGAACACAGATAAAATGGTGGAGAATCCCCTCCCTGGGCCATGCAGCCGAGAGAGAATGAAGGAAACAACACAGCAAACAAGCTTCCATTGTTCCAAAACTCCCTGCTGCCCCTGCTCCACCAAACGAATAACCAGTGGGGAACAGGGACAAAAAAAAATCTGGAAAAACTATTTTTGTCCAAAAGCAGTCAATGCTGCTGTGCTGCCTACTCCACGCCACCCACCAGGGGCTCTCCCTAGCGCCACGTGGCTGCCGGCAGCGGCTGGAACTCGCAGAGTGGCTCTGACCTCCAGTGTGCTGGCTGCGGGCAACAGCGGGCAAGTCTGTCCCATCCCCAGCAAATGGCCTATGGCAGTGGCTGAAGGGATTTTGAAATGCTTTAGAGCCTGGAAAGAAGGGGAGAAAGCTCCAAGTTTCTGTTGCCATGTTTTTAAGGCACAAAGCACCCCTCCAAGTTTTGTGAATTGGGGTAAAACATAGAGATTCTGCTTCCGACTTCAAGTCTTAAAGAAATAATAAACAAACTTGTGTGGGTTGATGTAGAGGAAGATTTTTGGGTCAGCCTGTTACAAATGAAAAATGAAAAATAGCCAATTAAAAAAAAAAATTAAAAATAAAATTTATTTCGCAACCATAATACAGTCCCGACAGCCACCAATCAATCGGACAGCGTACCACCCCCGGACGGTGAGCTGGGTGAACGTGAATTTGGCCTCTATCGCACCAAACTCCCCTCGTCCACACCAGCTGCTCCCAGGTCGTGGTTCTTACACATTTTAATTCGCCCGTGGCAGAGTCCCTTTGTCTCTTTTTCAAAGTCTTCATGTTCATGTTCAGTCTTTTCTTCGGTCCAAGCTGCACAAAGCCTTCATCCGGGAATTGAACAATGTGCTTCTCCAATTCCCTGGCTTCAGATGGCAGGTGCTGATGGCTCTGGTTATCTCACATGTGTATCTCGTCCGGGCCATCATCTCCTGGGTGTCACTGGACACATGCCTTCGTGAATGCCCATCTCCCGTGCAGCCGAAGTTCCCTTCGAATGCAAATGTCGCGGTGCCTCCTTGCCCATCTGCCATGGTTTTGCCATCCTGCCGCGGTTTTTCCATCCTGAGGAAAGATTTCTCTCCCCCCCCCCATGTACCAATAGTCTGTTTCATACACATATATATTTTAAACATCTTTTATTTCCACGAATTACTAACCACATTTCTAACAAGCCCTAATACTAAAATCTGCCTACTATTTCTGTAACTAGGACAACTATTGATTTAAAATGCTATGTCATAACATGTATTTTGCTGAGGTTTTTCTCCTCTATCTCCAGACGTGTAGAACACAGACACCTACACATGAGCTAGTTTAGACTTACTCGTATCCTGTCCAGTCAAAGCATTTCCAGTGCATGATTATCTGGCCTACTTCAGATACTTTCTTTATGTTTATTTGACTCCCAAGGTGGTTATTTTTGTCTTTTGACTATTAATAAGAGTCCAGACATTTAGCTCAGATTTAGGTGTGGTTTTACAGACAGGCTAATTCAACCTTCTTGTATAATTTCATTAATTCAGAATAATAACTCTGATTTATAATTGTGCATGCAGGTTGGTCAGGACAAAGGAAGCTGTTCTTTCAATAGAAACCACAGCCCATGTGTTGTTCCTCAAGAAAATGAAAATATTTTCCACACAATATTTGCTTTTTTCACGAAGTCTGGCAGAAAAGTATTGGTAAGAAACAGTACTGCTTATGGCACCACTTCAACATACAGCATATTTTACAAAACATTTTGCATGGTTTGGCATGACGATCTGAAGCAGATAGTTCATTATTATAACAACACTGATGATGTGCTGGGGGGACATTTAGTGATTGAATTGTCTGTTTTTTAAAAGTAAATAGGAGGTTTCAGGAAGTGCAGTGGAAAGGAGTTTAGTTGACATGGCAGCACACACTTGGTAACCAGAGCCTTTGCTACCATGTTCTCTCAAAGACATATGGGGGCAGTGGGTCACTGCACTGTACTTGGTGCCTGACCCACACAAAGGGCTGGTGTGCAGCTGCAGTCCTGTTCCTTTCAGTCCTGAATGCTTGCCCGGCTCAGCAGCTCTGTAGAGGACTGAATTTTACCTGGCTTGCTTTCACGCAGGCATCTGTAGCCATCTATCTTCAGGTCTTGAAAGTTGCTATTTCAGTGCAAGAGTGCTGTATTATAGCAGTTATAGAACTTAGTTTTCTAAGTTTATAAGTTTGCTGTTTATAGTTTATCATTGAATTTTACAATTTATCATTTATCATTTAATTTTTACCTCCTTTGCTTAACAACTTTTTCCATATTTCCTGTAGGACTGTGAAAGACCAGGCAGATCTTGTTTAATTGTACACTGCAACATAAGCTCACTACCTAAAGCAGAATCCTGTGATATAAATATCTACATGCTGCTGAATACTGAGATACTCAAGAAGGTACGTGGCCTCTTCGTAGGTTGTCTTCAATGCCAATTTAAGTGTGCTTAGGTGAACCAGTGAACTCAAAACTTCCATTTCTTCCTCTTTACTAGTGTGTGAAAAATAATCATGGTATCAAAGAAAACAGATCTCCTTATTAACAGTGTGTATGGAGGTGTTAATCTTAGTTCTTACCCATTACCCATTAAGATAGAAATAAATTTAGTTCAGAAATTTATACATTGAAAAATGACAAATGAGACCCGTAATTGTGTGCATGGTGTGTAGGTTAGAGATTTCTGAAAATCGAATTGATTTCTGAAAGTTTTCATTCTAAAAAATGTAAGTGAATGTAAACTGTGACCAGCTATGTATTATCTTCCTGTGTAAACAGAGACATGGCAGTATTTTGTAATTTTTACTTCAAATTGTTATTATTCAAAGAAGATGCATCATGACGACATTAATGCTAAGCTTAACATTTATGGCAAGAAACAAATGGTTGCCAGTTAATTTCTGTCTTCTCTGAAGCTGCTGAATGAGACAGTAAATCTTTTAAATTTTTTTGTGATTTACTGCATTTTGACCTATGCTCCTTTACTTACAAAAATGCTGACTCTAATTCTGGCAAGATGCTGTAAGGTTATGAGGGAATAAGATAATTGGAGGAGAAAGCTGATAACATGAACCTATTAAAATAAACCTGTCTTTCATAGTTGTTAGATAAAAAGTGTCAGAGAGAGCCCTTATTAGAAAACAGTTGCTAAAGTAATTAATAGCCTTGAGGTTTTCCAATTGAAACCAGTATGTCTGTTAATGTTTGTTCATATTTGAGAAAAGGAAGTACGGACATGGCCGGAAGGTTCAGCTATTTGTTACATGCTTATAGAAATGCTGAAATACGTAAACAAGTAACTGAGTGCCTGCAAAATATGCTTCTGGGAAATTCAAACCTTGCAATAGCCAGGATTCATCCCATTGCTGGGTCCCTTCTAAGATTACTTTTAGCAACACTCCCTTAAAAGACATAGAGTGTTTACACATGTTTGAGTATCACCAGTGCATGCCATTTTCTACTTATTACATACTCTTCCCAAGGCAAACCATATACAAGTGAGTCATCTGTAAGTTGAAATGGCATCTTATTGAAATGTGCCTGTTAAAATGCACTGGGCATTTTATTGGAGAAATATGTATTAATGAGAGGAATTGTATAGTGAATAAGATATTTGCCATGCACAGATTCTAATAAGAACTTCTCCCCCAGGATATATTGTAGTTTATCCCAGTTTCTGTATATCATTTTTCTGTTCACTTGAAAAACAAACCGGAACATTTTTCACAGTTAATATTGAACCTGCCTGTGTCATTGGAAATTCTCTGTCTTGCTTCATGGCAAATGTGGGAAAAATTAACAAACCAAATACAAAGTATGCATTTAAAGTCTAACATACCTGATTTTGCTATAATCTGAAATAATGTGCTCAGGTATATCTGTCTGTTATGAGCATAAAGTATATTTTTTCAAAGCAGAGTTGTAACCAGGATGGTACTTAGCTGCCAAACTAGCCTTCACTAAGCATTGTCTGGGTGTATTTATTATACTGGCAATTGTTTGATGGTTTGTTGGGCTTTTTTTGACAGGGGGGTTGGTGCTTTTGTTGTTGTTGTTGTTGTTAAGTCCAGTTCTTCCTCTTTTTACTTCTCAGGACAGTTCATCAGTCATCCAGTTTGTCACAAGGGCAAGGCTGCAGGTGGACCATGACCTCAGAGTTGTGGCCAATGGGAATCCAGAAGAAAAAACAGTGAGTACACAAACCTAAAGAGAAATGTTTCCTTTTCCCAGTGGGCTGGAAATCACTGAGAGCTCTATACAAACTAGAATTTGTGCCTGGGCTGACCCACAAGAGTGCCCACTTTGTCTGACTAGACTAACAGTACTGTGAACTGTGTTTTTGTGGTTTGGCTCTCTGTGATAACCATGTCAACAGAGTGAATGCAATTATGTCAAACCAGAATGATCTGTGTTGTACTAGCTAAAATATCCTTGAGGTATTAATGCAAAAATTAGGTTTAGGTCCTGATTTAGGGTTAATATTTGCTTTAATCTAATTCAAATTTCCCTTAAAAACCTAGAAGAGACTTGAAACCTCAGCAATGTCTTTTCACATGTGCCAGAATGAAATATTTAGAAGTGTTCATGATATTTTGGGAGCTGTGAAAATGCAAAAAGGTGTCTAATCTTTCAGAAAATAAGTAAACTTTTTTTTTCTTGTGCTAAGCTGGTAAAAATCAAGTGGCAGCTGATACCACATATTGCACTGATTTCCCTCTTCCTCCTGAGTCTCCTACCTTTTTGGTGCCATTTGTCTTCCTTCCTTCTGTTATCCAAAAGTCCGGCACTTCACTGTTACTGCTGTGTCTCAGTGTCCATTCACCTGGCTGGCACCACCCAGTTCACAGCCTCTTGTCTTAGGCTACTACAAAGGCCCTTCCCTCCCCGCCCCGCCGCGGCAAGACGGCCGGGGGGAGGAAAAGGCGCAGCTGCCAGACACAACACACGATATTGGGATAAAGGCTATCACCCCATGACAGGCTCAGTCTGCATTTAAATCAGCATCTCAATCCTTGCAAACCCAGCTATTTGCACCAATGTATCCCTCAACAATTATGTCTGTAACTGTAGTCTTGAATATCTATTTTGTTAGACCTATCAGAAAAAAGGAGTTGTTTTATATGACAGAATCTTCTTTTTCCATTCTGTTGTCTTTTCTTTGTCAGATTTCTATACCATTCTATACAATAGGCTTGGAAGTTAAAATGGCTAAACATAGCCATTGCTGGGAATGTGCCTTATAAGTGACCTGCAGTCCTGAGTGTTAATACATTGCTTGGCCACTCCATAGTTCTGCAGCTTGCACAGAACACATCTTGCAATTGCATGGCAAAATTTCATTAATGACTTTTGAGAAACAAGGCTCACTTTTAAAATTTCAGAAGTTTATTAAACCTTAACAAAAATACAACAATGGACTGAATAAGGAACAATTTTACAGTGCTGAGAGTCTTTGTGACCAGCAGCCACACACTCATTTACAAAATGGATGCTCTGCTTTTTATACTCTTGGCCCCTCCCAAAGTTTTGTCAGTCAACTCCTTCTCTTCCATCCATTGGTAGAGATCACTTTCTTACAAACTGATTGGTAGTCAGGTGTTGCCATGCCACATCTCCTAGTAACAAGGTTGCCCTCCACTAAATGTCCCAACTATTGACAGCAATATAAGGGAGAAGGGAAAGAGGACTATGGGAAGAACATATAAAAATAACATGCTATCTATCTATAAAACTTCTCTTAATATACACATAATATTAATCTCTTAATTGTGAGAGCCAGCCATCGCATTACCCATTTATAACATGACTGAAGTAACACCTGACTATGATACCCATGTCTGAACTGAAATGGAAGAACACAGAATCTCTATGACAAATATTTTCAACTGTAAAATGTTTTAAAATATCTCAGAATGACAGGTATTGTAAAATGTGTCGGATTGCTATTTTTTGGTGTTCAAAATTTAGAAATGCTTTTTTTCTAGGAATGCAGGCTCTGCTGTATTTCATTGTTATCTAATGCTTAGAGGAAAAAACAAAAGAATGTTAGGCAAAAAAAGAAATTGTTCTTTTCTATTCTCAGAAAACCTTTCATTAAGTCTTGAGTTGCATTATGAAGCACACTGTGTATGTGTTGGGAGGCTATCTTAAGCTTCAAACAAGAGCTTGCTTCCAATTCCTGGGAAGCCCTAGCTGTGAAACAGCATGCTTGAAATGTTGTAGCCGTGTAACATTAATCTGTAGTTTGAAGTCTTTCCTTATAGGAGTGCCATTTCCTCTCTGCTTTCTGGTATTTCCATATGCCAGCTTCAGTATTGCTGTATGTTTTGCACAGGGTCATGTTCAGACAAAAATTTAAGATATGACTTGGCCCAAGGTATTAATTTTTCTGTGTTCTCTTCTTGTGGCATGCAGAAGGGAAGAGTAGCTGTTGCAAGCCACGACTAATTTAGCTGGAAATAGAGGCTGGAGAAAGACAATGTCATTGTTCAACTCCCTCTTTTCCTTTTTAAAGGTCATCCTGTACTCTCCATTAACCACAGACTGCTGTACTGTATCCATTTGGATAGCAGGTCCTTCTGTACAGTTGTGCATGAACTTCCTATGAGACTGTTTATGACAGTGTTCCCTAACATTTCTTAGACACTTTATCATGCTAAGGTTGAAAAGGCCTTTTTTTTCTTTCTAAGGCTAAATGTGGGCTTATTATCACATTTAAATGTTTTTTTAGGACCAGGTACCATTATTTCAATTGGGGCTTTTACATTGTAGTGTATAGCATCAGAGTGCAAATTCTCTGTAAAAAATATAAATTGAGATGGAAGAGAAATAGAAAAGGAAGGCTGATATTTTTTCTGCTAGTATAAGAAATACCAGTGGACCACCCGTATGAACACCAACTCTGTCAGAAACTTCAACAGACAATTTTCACTTATGAAAGTGTATGTGAGTATCTTTAAGTTGGGTAGCAGGCTGTCTTTGAAATTAACCCGTTTTAAAAAAAATATGCACTTGTGCAATTCTCAGAAATAATTTCTCTGAATTTGGATATGATTTTATGTGATTTTTAATTATGTATTTTTGGTTCTGGTTACAATAGGCTGCTTGAGCTCTTATATTAGACAAATCTCATTAAGAAGGTGATCAGAGTTTGGATTTGGCTCCCTGATGACAGTGGTATTAACATATGAATATATTGTCTGAAACTGGTGTCATATTTTCAAGAGGCATACTTTATTTTCTTCATCATATGAGTTTCCATGAAGGTTTGGTTCTCTTCTTCTTTATCTATGAGCAAAACCAACAATAAGCTCCAAGAGAACACAGTAGTCAAATACTAGATTGAAGAGTTCACATTTTCTGCTCGCTGCTTGTGTGCAAGAAGAGAAGGAGTGCTCTTAAGGAACAAAAGGACTTCCTTTGGAAGTGTGGAAGGAAGAATTAACTGGATTTTACTACAACAAAACTATTCAAATGCCTCTGAGTCTTCCTGTATTGAAAGTAAGGGAATGCAAAACTTACTGCATGAAAAGGCAACCCCAGATAAAATGTATGCAGGTCCTGCAATGCATGACCTTTAAAGCTTAAGGTTGCCATCTGGTGCTATCCATTAAAGTACAGGTATGCTCCATCAAGCCTTTGAACCTTTTGTGCCTTCTGGATAGAGTTCACTGTTCTTTTATTTCCAGTTCAGTCACTCTAGGTTTAATGCATATCCCAGGTAACCCAAAATGTTACTGTATCCCCTATCTATCTATGCCCAAAATTGTTACTGTCTTTTTAAGACCCCTTCACCAGAAAACAGAACAGGGAGGTGGTGCCCAGGGCTTTTTAAAAATTGGGACGGGATGGGGATGGGGGGAGGAGGTGGATTTCTCTCTCCCTGTTTGGCTTGCCTCTTGGCCTTTTCTTGCCTCTACTTGCAACAGTAGCAAGTGGAGAATCTGCATTTTGCAATCAGAAATTGTTTCAGAGGGTTTCAGAGTTTACTGTTATTTTGCAACACCTGTGGACAGAACTAAGCCAGAGCTGGTCTGGTGCCAGGCCGCCGTGCATCCGTGCTGAAAGTCCGTTCTTTCTTCCCTTCTCTTTCATTGGAGTAGGGACCCAAGGCAACAACACCAAAACTAACAGTGTCCAACAGGTGTCAGGAGGCGGCAGCAAGTGGGAACACTGATTCCACACACGCTGGCAATTCCTATCTGCCACTAGCACTGCTTTGAAAGCTCCTACCTTAATGGGAGGGTTTGCTGCCATTTTCTCTTTGTCTTTAAAACCACACACTCATCTGTGCCAGGCAGCATCTTAGGATGGGTCACACTGCAAATTCAAGTTTCTCTTTGTCTCTGGTGGGGGTCTGTGAGATTTAGCAATTTTGTATATAGTGATTGTTTACTGGCATTGTTTTGCCTGTTGCTGGTTTTCTTGCTAGAAAACTGCTATTTTTTCACTTACATCTACTAGTATTTTGTTTCTTCTTATTGGTGGAAGGGGATTAACACTAAGAGGGAGAACTCATAGAGTGTTCCCTTTAAATTGTCTTAAACCAAGACAATGCAACACAGGCAAGTGGTTGTCCTCCATGGGTTTTTTCTGCTCAGAATTTAGGTATGTTTATGTTTCCAATGATAATATATTTTTTGGAGAAAAACAATAGCAAAAAAAAAAAAAAAAAAAAACAACTCACAAAAAGTCAGTTTATGGTTGAAAGCTTGGAAGCTGTCTTTATGTGCATGTATTTGCATATTCTATGCAAAGAGATTTAAATGTATACTCATGAACCTAAGCTTTAGCTGTCTGCCTGCAGCATGGAGGACTCCTGACTTTGGCCTGTTCCCCATGTCTGTTGAAAGGAGCAACCTGTGGTACTGGACAGTGTTCATGATGTTCTAGTTGTTTTTTTTTTTTCAATGCATATGGGAATACCTCTTCCACTGAGAAATCCACTGCCAGCCTCTCATTTCTTAGAAACACTCAGCATTTTAAGGCACCAGTTCTCCCTAGCTTACCTTTTTAATACCTGGCTGGAGCTTTCTCCAGCAGCTTTGCAGCCTCCTTGCCAAATTATTTGCTGCCATATTGTTTTTGTCATGTTAAGTTATTAATTTTGTGTTACTTTTCCATTTGCTGCTATAATATTCCTTTTATAGATTTTCTTGTCTTTACACTGCAGTCTCTCAGGTAGAAACA